CATAGAAAACAGTCCAGAATATAAAATAGAATATACTACAACATGAAGGTTCCTGTAATATAGAATCTTAACAAAATGTTATATATAATATATAGTATAGCATAACATAACATAAGACATATAAAAATGCATGCACATCTGACAAAGGTTTAAACATTTCGACAGGCGAGTTCTCATATACCGAAGTTCAGGAGGCGGTTCGCAAGCTGAAGACAAACAAAACTCCAGGTCCAGACGGAGTGGTTAACGAACTTTTCCAATACCTCGACTTCAAAAACGTCCAACAACTCCCACGATGCTTGAATGTTTTGTGGAACAAAAACATGTGCCTGATGATTTTGCCTTTGCACAGCTTCTTTTTGTATAAGAAAGGAAACCATGAAAATCCTGAGAATCATAGGCCAATATCATTATTAAATACGACATACAAAATATTCGCATACATTCTCAAAGCTAGAATAGCAAACGTTATTGACGCAAACATTGGAAGCACACGGTTTGGGTTCCGGAAAGGCAGGTCAACAGCTGAAAATTTTTTGCGTGCGACGTCTCACCGACGTCGTTGAACAAGGACATGAACGTTTGTTCCTGATATTTTTAGACTGGGAGAAGGCCTTTGATATGTTTGATCATGAAAAGATGTTCATGTCGCTTGCTAGATTGAACATTACCGATGACATGTTAGACGCCATCAGAGCTCTCTACCGCATGCCAATGTTCCAGGTCAATCATAGTTCACATACAAGTAGCCATTTCACACAGCGTACGGGAATCAGGCAAGGCTGTGCCCTCAGCCGTTTTCTGTTCATTCTAACGATGCATGTACTGTTTCTGATGTAAAGGACAGCTCTAATGACACAAGTCGTAGAAAACATTCCAGGGCATAAATTTTCAAGAGTTGTTGTGCGCGGATGATACATTAATCGTTGCAAAAACCAATAGACTGCCAATGGCTACTTACAGTTAATTGAAGAAGAGTCCGATTACCTGCGTTTGAAACTGAATCAATCTAAATGTTGTTTTCGTGCATATAATGCCAGAGGCAGTATACGCTCCAAGAGTGGGGGAAAAATGAAGTGTGTGCAAGAGACGACTTATTTGGGAGCGTTGGTCTCGAAACGAGTTGACCCCTGTCAGGACATCCGTAGACGAATCTCTGCAACAATGGTCATCTTAAAAACATGACATCTTCTGGCTTAAACGAATTGTAACAATAAATGGAAGTTGTTGGTCTACACCGCCGTCATCACAAGCAAACTTCTTTATGGGTTGGAAACATTGGAACCCACAGAATCAGCGGGAAAGCTGCTCAATACTTTTCAGCTGAAAGGATTGCGTAAAATTCTGCAGTTGCACACTACGTTTATTAATCACAGCAATACAAACGAGTACGTGTACAAAAGAGCTAACGAAGTCACGAATGCTCCAAGCGTGGGCATACACAAAAAATAAAGCCCCTCACAGAAGTTCTCGGAGAACGGACTAGAAGCTTTTGGGACATGTGCTACGTCGGAACCGCCAACATCCGTTGCATCACGCCGCTTTTAAAACGCAGCCGTCTGCTGTGCCAAGAGAAACAGAACAACGAAGAGTAGGCAGTACAAGACAATTGTGGACTTCCACGAATAAGGAAAAAACTTGGAATATACTCACATCAAAGGACGTCTCGGTACCGAAGGTGCCTTTCAATAAACACGACCGAGCAGTACGAGAGACGAATACTGATCATGCCAGAAGATACCAACCACCTTTCCGCTGATCATGCATTTATGGAACGTCGCAAATTGGTTGGTTGGTGTCAGCTATTACAAACAAATCGCTGTTAAGTCTGTCTTCGTGAAGCAGCTCGATGTGAAGTCTCTATGTGAAGAAGCTCAGTGTGAAGTGTCTCTGTGTGAAGTAAAGTAACTCAGTGAGAAAGCCTTCTATAGGAATCAAAGAAGTGTAAAATGAGTGTATATGAACATTCATTGCAGCAGTGATGCCGGGACCGTAGTAAACTAGCAGGAAGTAGGTTAACGCCAACGACTTGTTGCTTTTGCTGCAAGCTAAGGTAGTAAAAAATGTATATATATATATACACATATATGTATAAGAAAAAGCAAAACAAACATTCTAGTACATAATATATGACATGTAATACAATATGTATACATATATCAAAATAAAGTATTATAATATGATATAGTATATCCCAGCTTATCAGAGGCTGCGGACAGCTGCCCGCCATGAAAAGCAAAAAGATTTGTCTTGACGTGGGATGGACCATGGTACAAGTAACAGATACGCTGCAGGGCATGTCACCCAAGCACCATGCGTAGCTGCTGATTCGCGACTTTGGCCCTTCGACCAAGGGCAAGGAAGCGAGCAGCCGGAAGCCATGCGAAGGTCAACATGTAGACATACAAACCGTCATCTGGATTCATGCGCAAGTAGTCGTTGGCACTGCAGAGCACATCCACAATATGTCTTTGCTGTAGATTGTGTTTATATGAAGCTCTGGGTTTGTTGTGTCGAGCTTCCCTTTCTCTGGTATGCGGGCTAGCGGTTTGCGACTTTCGGCTCGTCTATCTCCGAGAATCAGCCTCAGAACGGCTGATCTTTTTGGCCGACTTCGGCCCCGTGGAGATCGCTTCCCTCTATGACTGTTCTATCTGCTCTCATCGTTGATGTTGGAACCCCATCCATTGCAAGGCAATGAGGTACATGAATCCACACGCACACACACACGCGCGGCAGTGCAGCAGACATTTTGCTGCGGCGACCCTAGTCCGATCCAGGACGCTCGTTGGCCTTCTGCTGAGGGTACTGGTGAAAAGCGACCTCACGCTGGACATCCCGATCCGATCTGCGGCGCTCAGCTGCCAGATGTGCTTTACGTGATCTTCGAAATTGCAGCGCGGAGCACAACCGAGCACGGACACAGAGGCTCGGACAGGAGGTCCCGGGGCTGCGTCCCCAGGTAGAGAGGGACGAGAAACGTTTGAGGCCTGGGCGCACGGACATCTTGTTCTATGCTCCGGATTTGGTTGTGATTTTCGGGAGGTGGTGAGCAGTAGACAAAGGGATATTACAGGCGTGGTTTCGGAGGACACACGCGCGATCCCAAGGCCGTACAGTCACTATACATTGCAGCTGCGCTGATCTGACTCTGCAGTGGCAACACGAGAAAGCCAGCAGAAATCTGAAACTGCGTTGGTGAAGTTTGACTGAAGGTAACCAGAATGGCAAACAAACCGGGACCGAGATAGACTCACATAGACCGTTAAACACTGGAGATGAGGGCCAGGCAAAGGATTGTCACTGTGAGCGGGCTACGGCTGCTTTGAGCTCGTGTGACTCTGCCAGAGTCAAGCCGAAGATGACGTGCAAGTCCGCATGACAACTGAAAGGTGCACAAACATCTTGCTCCGTCATGATCATGTCCACAGCACGCAGATGCTCGTCGCCTGCTATGGTTCGATGAAATGTTAGCAGTGTCCGCAAATCCTGCATTGAGGCGGCCTTGCAGGAACTCGAAATCGGCCGGTTATTGTTTTTGCCTGTTGGGGCGGTACTTCCGCATCTGCTCCTTTGCCGCGGAACTTGGCACGGACGCGCCTCATGAAGCCGTCCAGCTGCTTCGGCTTAGGTGGGCTGACTAGCTCCACATCCTCATCGGAATCTTTCTGCTGCGAGAGTTTCTCAACCACATCAGAAGTTTTTTTTTGCTCTGCGACTTGGCAGCTATTTGACGTTGCCGAAAACTTAACATGCCACACTTCTTGTACTCGTGCGGCGCATGCGGGTCTGGCGCTTAGTATTGCAGCTGCACTGTGCAGGTCTTTACTTTGCCTTCGGGCGGCAGTAGGGTAGCTGTGCCTTGCCCGGAGGAGGCGGCTTGTGTCTCGTAGTTCCAGTGCTTGGTGCATTGGAAACGGCACTTGGCAATTGCACCCTTTCTGTGCTTGCGAGTCTGAAACGTCAGACACAGGCAATGCGGTTCAGGCAAGTTTTCAAAATGCTTCGTGACTAAACTTTGCAACTTTGCTTGATTCCGCCTCCCCGAGTACTTGAGAGTTTCTCTTACCGGGAAGGTGCACGACGGCTGCCCTTCAACTGTAATTGACCACATATATGTGTATAGCTATATATATATATATGTATGTATAAGTATGTGTGTGTGTACTGCTACTAGTAAGAACAATACTCGGAGTAATCACAATGGTACTCATAGGAAAAAGTGAGAATGATAGAGATGATAGTTATAAGAGAATCACATGATTCTAATAACACTAACAGACTATGAGACAGTATGAACAAAACAAAATTTCATAGTCAGGTCATAATACTAGAACTGCCAGAAAGAATAGGCACAATACCAAGAGGAGACAAGAGTCTGCAGTACTATCGGCGTCTCCACAACTCCGAGGAACATAATGGGACAATGGACACGCACATGTGAAGACTCACAAACAGAAAAGCAGAGCATGAGCAAGAACACGTGCATGTCGGTGTGTATGCATGTAGGCGTGTAGGTGTGTATATACAAACAAGAAGCACAACAAGACAGAAAACGAACGCAACAAACAACAAGCAAAGGGCTATAAATTCAAGCAGCTATGTAAACCTCTACTTACCCTTGAACCGAAAGGTATACGTGTAACCTTATATACTTGAGAAGACCAGGGGACCCAGGGGCTGCACCGGACCAGGGGACCAAAGGACCAAGGGACCAGGGGACACAGGACCAGAGGACCAGTGGAACAAGGGGACAGGAAACAAAAAGGGAGCAAAACGAGGGAGTGAAGAAATACGCCCTCCCTAAAACACCTAAGCATTGCAAGAGCCCAACCACAAATGCTTGCGGCACTCCTGAAAGGGAGGGATTGTGGTTTTCACGGCTAAGTAAACCTTCTTCCCTCTACTAACTGTTTAGGGTTTAGGGGTTAAGGGTCTAGGGTTTAGGTACTCGGAATTGGATTTGGGGTTTCGACTCCTTGGACCAACAGCCCAGGCACGATGGAACCATCAATGTCTGCATCTGTCCATGGAGCCACCTTCGTCTACTATTTGCTTAAGAACCCCGCAAAAAATAAAAACAATAATCCCTATACTACCCCCATAAGGAATATATTTTTTGTTTTTTTCGGGGGTTCTTAAAAATAGTAGTCGTGGAAGCCCTCAACCTTAAACCCCAAACCTCTTGTCTGAATCCTGCGCCCTACGCAGGCCCGAACCCCAAAACCCTAAACCCCAAACTTACTCCCAAAAACCCTAAACCCCAAACCCTGAACCACAAACTTGCCCCCAAAAACCCTAAATCCCCAAACCCTAAACTCTCGAACCCTCCTCAGCCGACTCAACATGCCGGCGCTTTCAGGCTCTGAAGGGTGAAGGGCGGGGAGATGACACAAGACTAATCTGGGATCGGAAGGTTCGTCCTAATAAGAATAGTATGTATTCATATTACTACTTATATTATTGTGAACATTGTTCTTGTTATTACTAATATTGTTCTCATTACTGCTATTTTAGTGGGGCCTTCTTTGCCTACAGCTTCGCCAGCCGCGGCTCAATGTTGTTTGGGTTTAGTGTTCCTACAGGCTTCTATACGAGTACGGGAAGGATTCAGGGCTCCTGGATATTCGGGCATCCTAAAGGTCTAGAGTTTAGGGTACTACAAGGTTTGGGGTTTAGGGCTTTTTGGGGTATTTTGTTTTTTTTTGGTATTTGGGTTGTTGGCTTTAGGGTTTTAGGGATTGAAAGTTAGGCTTTACGCTCTCACAACTCGGACAAGCCAGATGGAGGTTCGTGGGTTGGCAGTCGGAGCGAAAAGAGTTCTGGTGGGACGACATCAACGAGTACAACCATCCTAAACACAACACAAACAAAGCTTTTGGGGTTTAGGGTTTAGGGGTTTAGGGTTTAGGGGTTTAGGGTTTAGGGTTTAGGGGTTTAGGGTTTAGGGTTTAGGGTTTAGGGATTAAACACAGAGGCACCCTCTGCAAGGGCACTTTTCAGAGGGAAATCTTTCAGGAGCAGATCTTGTCTGCTCCAAAACCACGCTTCTCAACCAAGCCAACAAATGTCAATTTTACTCGCGCCTTGGGGGCATTTTATGGTGCAGATAAATGAGCAGCCCTAAAGAATACTATCGAAACCTCTAACTACTTCTACTACGCAAAAGACAAAAGACCTGCTGCTTTGGTGGGATTATACAGGGTCTAGGGCATCAGGCGTTCATAATCCGGAACCTTGAAACGTCAGCCTTGTATTTTACAAGTAAACCCAACCATGACTTTCCTTCCAGGGCGCCCGGTGTCCTCCAGTGTGACCTGATGGTTTCAACAATCGAGGGGGGTGCTTGGGCTTGTTCCAGGTAAGGGGTCCCCAAAACTAAATCCACAATCTTAAACCGATTGAGTTTGCATATGAGGGTTTGTAGAATAGGGATCCGGCTTTTGGTTGATAGGGTCCTTAGATAAAGGATCCGAAGATTCAAGGTCTAAGCTTGGGACGGGGATTCTTGGCAGAGTTCCTTGGAATACGGATCCCGCCATTCAAGGTTTCAAGTCGGGTTCTTGGATTAAGGACCCTACTATCTAGGGTCGATGTTAGAACCGCTAGAAGAACAAGGGCCCTACTTGGAGGGGCAGGGGACTTAGTAAGTAGCTTATCGTAGGGTTTTAATTGGGGTAACCCCAGTTAGGTTACTTATAACTCTACTTATAACCTACTTACTAAGTCCCCTGCCCTTCCAAGTACTATCTGGGAAGCTAGGCCGGACCTTTGTATCCGTTCATCAAGGATTGACCGTGTCAGAGTCCTTAGAATAGGGATTTATCGTTAAGGGGTTCGTGTTTAAGGTTTAGGGTTTAAGGCTATAAGGATCCGTCTACTTGATGTCGATATTCGGGTTCGTAGAATAAGGGCCCTACTACGTAAGATCTGTTTTTGGGCTCCCTCTTTTTCTGACTCTCCCACCTGCATCTGGGAGAGTACGAAGAACTGGCTCTGGGCATTCAGGAAGAAAGCCTGGATCGCGACATCCTCAGCGCCACTTAAAATGACAATGATCATCATATCAATGTTCAAAACACGACCATCACAACAATGATAATCATCATAATTTTAAGCATAACAATCATAATCACATTTACCATAATAACATAATCGGAGTATTAACAAGCATAATCATAACACTCGTAATGATGATGATAATGATAATGTAACGGATCAGGCTTCTTTAGGGTTTTTCTACTAGCATGTTTGCGGGTGCTTAAGGATCTTTAAGGGGCTTTAAGAGGTTTACAGGGTTCCGGATTCAGCTCAGGGACCCCAGCTAAGTGACCTGAAACCCTGCTTACAAGCTACTGACAACATCCCGCGATCGTCATAACAATAAGACTAGTCATAACCATACTCATAACTAAAAACAATGATACTAAATATGGTAACCTTACTACTACTAGTCGTAATTCTCCAAGTAATAATCATCATAGTCATAATAATACTGCTACGACTACTACTAAGAACCATAAGAATCATCATCATCTCCAAGCAGGACCCATGGTAGGGCCAAGGGATTTGTTCTCGGTTCTAGGAAGCTGCTACACTTCGTTAAGGTATGTGTTGGGTACTGCCCCCCATACAGGAACAGTCTATAATAGGGCTACTATGAAGGGCCTAATATATCCATAGTATACATATTATCCAACTGTTACGGCGTGGGGGCAGTACGCAAGGTATGTGCTTCTTTTGTTAAATTGCAAAAGTTTGAACAAGTTCTTGAAAAGCAAGGCTGGAACGTAGTTGCCGGCTTCTCCGCTATTTTTGGCTTCGCCTTTTCTGAACCTTGTCTAGTTCAAGATTAGGCTTGGCCAAGGCAAGGGCCGTAAGAGAAAGCGAACTTGAAAGCAAGTAACAGAACGAACCAAGGTCTTTCATCAAGGGTTTTGGGTAGTTGTCACAATTAAGGTCCCTTTTGGGATCCTCTTTATGAGGTGCCGTACTATATTGGGGACTGAAACAGAGGCCTTAATTTAGGGAAACACAGATTTTAAACACTTTTTTCCTACACCAAGCTTTGAGGTGCAGTTGTTTAGGGCTTGGGGTTTAGTTTTCAGGTTCGGAGTTGATAAAACGGCGTACAGCAGAAATCGTTACCGAGCCGTGTGCCAAGCTGCTGTAGCGTTGGGGGTGATCCAACCACTCGACTCCAGCCAGTCCTTACTTCTCAGGAAAAAGGGCGAACACCATACTACATGGGTCTAGGGTTTAAGCGGTATGTATGTATGTATGTATGTATGTATATATATATATATATACACTTCAACCCACCCCCATCCAAGATCCACTTTCCCTTCTGCTTTGAAGGAGATCCGGAGAGGGTTTGCGGCAGTTCTGGAAACGGCTCAAAACTACCAACGCGAAACCTTCGGCAGGTGCAAGTACCCGGCCTGAGCAGAATCAACTTTGCGGAGTCCTACTCTGTTTTTCTCGATGCTGCACGGGGCCTTCGCTGCTGCCTCAGGCGATGCAAGGCAAAGTAGTAGTAGTAGTTGTCGTAGTAATAGTAGTAGTAGTAGTAGTAGTAGTAGTAGTAGTAGTAGTAGTAGTAGTAGTAGTAGTAGTAGTAGTAGTAGTAGTAGTAGTAGGTTGTAGTTGTAGTAGTAGTAGTAGTAGCAGCAGCAGCATTGCAGTAGTAGAAAAGAAGGACAGGAGGACAAGGCGGCGGAGTAGGAGCAGGCGTCGGACCAATATGACTGCTGTTGTCATGAACTGCATTTCTTGTCTCTAAGCGAATAGCACTTGCAGTCGTGGGTGCAAGGGTATAGAATATGGTTATTTACAACTACCGCTGACATTTTCGAGAACTATCAAGACTGGCAGCTCCTGCTTCAAATATTGTGATTCCAGGCCTGCTCATTATCAGTGCTGATGTCGTTGTTGCTACGGCGATGTGTGTTGCAAGTCTAGTATTTGACTCGTTCGAGACTCATTAGTGCCACGCGGTAGCTGGACTGAGGGCTGGGTTTGGGACGCACTCCTGCACTGCATAATGCTCCGGCATTGCGAGCAGTTTGATTCAACGAAGCAACTGAATAACAGCAGCGTTGCATGTGCGGAGATAGTTGCTCCAATAGTTGTGCATAAATAACGCACAAACGCTGAACACTGTGCATACTCTCAGAGCAATACTAAGCCCTAATCTGTAAACTAAGAGTCGACATGCGCCAGCGTTGTGACCAAGTCCTCTTCTATGTCGAGCCAGTAATCTTCCTTGCACGCCGAGTGTTGGGGTTTGGGGTTTCGGGCTTTTGGTTTCGCTGTCACAACTCGACCCAGTCGGATGAGGTTTAGGGTTAGGGCATAGAACCAGTATCACTACCACACGCTGTGGCCTTGCCCTTTCGCAGTTAGCGGCCATGACAATACAGTCTGTTTGGAGTGTCTGCTCTGTCTGTCTGTGCGGCATCTTTCCATGGTTGTCTGTGTAAAGAAAGCACCAACACAGTACCTGCACATGTATACACCACACATGACAAAACATACAAGCGGCTGTGCCCACAGGAAACATGGTGGGTAGTCTGTTGCAACACAGCACATCATAATGTGTCATGTGCCACGCATGGCCCCACTGCCTGGCGGCCTGCCTACTAGTAGCGGCCTGCCTAGCCGCCTGCCTAGCTGCCTACATGCATGTATATCACATGCATGCACACGCATGGCGGCACTCGTACGTGCAGACCGGCAATACAACATAATGAGTTTTACTGGCTAATGCTGGCTTGCTCATGTGCGTAACTTCGATCCTTGGAAGCGCCAAACTATCTCTGAAGCTGGAGAGGTTTATATGAGTTGTGAAGGGATGGCAAGAAGCCAGTGTTCGCTAGCAGTCGTAGAATATCATCCTGCCAGATCATTGCTCTCATCTTGGTGTTCAGTTGAGAGCAGTGAAGTCAGCGCAGTGTAGGAGCACCATTGTCATGTGACTACGCCCTAAGCCCTGATAGTACCCCTATAGACCCCTTAAGGGGGACCCCTACACCCTTACATACTAAGTCCCATAATCCTCAAAGTATGCCCTCCGTGCCTCGCCTGCTCCACTCATTCTTTAGATTTCTATTCCTTAAGGGGTTCAAGTACCCATAAACATGTAAAGTGTTACCCGACTATGACAAAGTGGCCTGCTCCACTCTCTCTTGATCGGGGACCCCCCCTTAACGGGAACCTCTCCCTACTTCTCTCTTGAAAGAAGGGTCCCCCTAATCCTAGCTCCTATACAGTAGAAGCCAGAAAGTTGGAATATCATTATCGTAACCCCTTTAAGGTAAATTATAGGGGATCCTACCATTGATCCATATTCCAACTTTCTGGAGTTCCCTTTAAGCCATCCGCGCCTGGCCTGCTCCACTCTTTCTTGATCGGGGACCGCTTCAAAGCAGGAGTGGTTGTATTCACTCGCGATCCACCGCTGCTCCGCCACACCAGCCTCGGCTGGCTTGGGATAGTAGATTTCAGTAATATATTGTTAGCATATTAATAGTATAGTACATCAATTTTTATGGTATCATTTTATAGTATATTACATGTTGTTGTATGTAATAGTATGTGATAGAACATTACATATTATTGTGGTATATTATATAGTATTTTATAGCAGTATGTTATTGCATGTTTTCCGAAATCACCGTATATCATAGTATACATAGTATTTTCGTAATATAGTAATATTCTAGTTCAGGGTTTCAGGTCTCGAAGTTCATGGCAGAGCTGGTGAGCGCCATGATGTTCCTGAATGCCTCAACCGACATGACGACATGTGAGGGTAGTTGTCAAAATTGTGGCCCCTTTCTGGGTATCCTAAATAATAGGTGCCGTATTGTTATAATCGGGAACAAGAAGGGGACCCCAATTGTGACAACCACTCGCAAGAGGCACTCCACTACTACTTTGGAAATACACGCCTGCACCCCGGACAACCCTGCTACTGCCACGCAGAAGTCGACACCAAATCAACAGGTCTGTGACAGGCCCGTCAGGTGCAGCTGCTATGCTTGTCCCATGCAGTTGGACGCCAGTTTAGACACTCAAGGGCGTGCGTCCTAGTGAACAACACCATCGGTCTACAGCTACTATCGATCGGACATGTCATGCATGGACCACGGAATATGCAAACCCTTTAAACTCTAAACGCGGATGAGCCCTTCGGGGACATCATAGAAACCGTATGACACTAGCATCGAATTTTCTCGTTTACGGACTAGGGATAGGGAACCCGTATGTAAACCTAAAGGAACCCTAACAGCTAAGCTCCCAAACCCAAAATCCTGGATTCCGAAACCCCAATTGGCAAGCTCTGAAGTCTAAACCCTTCGTGAACATAATTAATCTCTGGCCCGTCTTGGGATAGTCTGCTGATTATGTAACAGTAAGCCATGAGCCTCAAAAAAGCACATAAGCAAAATTTAGGAAAGGGATATCCCATATAAACGCCCTTATAATGAAGCCCAACAAAGTAGGGATATCACCATAAGATGCTTATGCTTATGTGCTTTTTGGGTCCCTAATTAAGCCCTCAATCCCGAGCTTTCCACACACCCGAAGCCCCAAAGCGGGGAACTAAGGAACTGAACCTTAACCCCTTAATGTAGAGGCCTTATAATTAGAACAGGGTTTTGGGGCCCTTTATACTATAGTCATAACAAGGAACCTCCACAATACTATTTGTAATTATTTAGGCTTCTACATTAGGTAGGTAGCCTACGGAATCTCAGCTGATTCTCCAAATTGCTGAGTTCCTGAGTTCCGGGGCAGCAGAAAAGTTCACGTTTGCTAGACATTACAGTGGACTCCAGAAAGTTGGAATATCAGTACCCTAATACCCTTATAGAAAAGAAAAGTGGAATCCAGCACTAATCACCCTAAATCAATGTTCCAACTTTCTAGGGTTCCCTAATGTAGGGGAATTAGTAATTAGAATAGGGTTTTGTGGCCCATTATACTACTGCTGTAATTAGGAACCCCCAAAATAGTATTGGTAACTTTTCAAGCCCCGAAAGTATAAACTTCAGGTCCCCGAGACGCTGCAGTCCACCGGCTGGGCTACCTGCTTGGCCAAGCGAACCTCATGGAAGCGGATGTGGGGTTAAGCCTTGATACGACAACGACTACTACTACCACTACCGCGACGACGACTACGACGACGACGAAAACTGCTGCTGCTACTACTACTACTACTACTACTACTACTACTACTAATACTAATACTAATACTAATACTAATACTACTACTACTACTGCTGCTACTATTACTACAGCAATTGCTTCTCCTTTCTGCTCCTCCTCCGCGTTCTCCCGCTGCTGCTCAAACCAAACGCACACTGTCATCACGCGACTCCGCTGGTGCAGCCCCAAGCCATTTAACAGCTGGACCGTCCAAACTTGAATCGCTTAAGTTCTAGAACCTAGACCTGGCCAAGAAAACCACAAACTTCCAATCCTACACCTATGTCATCTTGCAACATCCGAGATGCTCCACCGATCAAGCGGATTCGATCGGCGAGGAGTCCACGGCCGCGAGGACCTTTGCCAGGGCAGACTTCTGAACATCGCACAGAAAATCTCCTGCAAGGGAGCAGTCGAATACAAATGCCTGCGCATTCCTTGCAATATGCTGACTCGTTGAGCATAGCAACGGTCGGCCCGAGCAGGACGGGGCCCCGTCGCCATTGCAGCAGAAGTATAGTCCTAATGGCAGTATCAAGTTGTGGTGGCGGTGGTCGTCGTCGTCCTAGCTCGTACACGGGCGCGCATGTTACTAGTAGTACCGACTTGCGAGCAGTTACCGCTCGAAGCATGCCGTGCCCAGACTCAGAAGAGGACGGCAATAAGGTTTAACAAGAAATCCAGAACCGGAAAAACATCTCTTGAGGTATACGATGCTATACTATATGCATACAGTATATTGAGGTTCGGACACCTGGCCTATCCTGCATTTCCACTTCACGCCGTCCAGCTTCTTTGATTATGCCATCGTATGCATGCAGAAGGGACACCTGGCCTTCCTCCCAAAGCAACGGCACATAGCCAGTTCGGATCCAGGAGTACATGTCGCCCCAGTCCTCACAACAGAGTTTCCGGAGAGAGCTTAGGGTCTTGGGTTGAAGCTTGCAAACAGTAATTGCGTCTGACTGGCGAGGAAACGGTAAGAAAAGCAGACACACAACATAGCTGAAGTTTCACTTGGGCAGTTGCCCAAGATACTAAGCTTCGAGACACATGATACAACTTCTCCTCTTCCAAGGCAGGGCATGGGCATGGGACTTCCTGACACCCTACATGCGCGGTTCGGTGTTTAAGCGAATCTCGCAAGTCGTGACATGCCGTTTCTTTTGAGAGTTCGGTCAAGGTTTCGATGGAAACATTAGTGATTTACCGGCTAAAGGTTTTGTAACGGCTCTATGGGACAAAGGAGTTTTACACAGGGCAACAAGCGTTCTAAGAGTTTGGAGGGGTATCTTATCTGAGGATCCTTATGCGAGGGATCGTATTTAGGGTCGCTTGTTTTCGAGCCTGTCAGCTAACGATTTCTATTAGGTTTTGTACTGTGTTGAATTCAGAAACTCTGGGTCTGAATAAATCTTGCCTTGACTATCTGCACTGCACCACACTGAAAGACGCATGTCACATTCCTCTCTCTCTCTCTCTCTCTCTCTCTCTCTCGCTCTCTCTCTGCACCCCAACAGTCCCAACCTGAAACGAAACAGAGCCGCATGCAGCGTGACGAGAAAACTGCGGATGATGCCGGACGTTGTCCATCAATGCTTAAGCTGGGCATTGCAAAATTGCAAACCTCTCAATCCCGCAGCAACTCCCGTGAGACCCAAAACAAAAAGAAGAGTTGTGATATTCTCGGGGGTTTATTTGACTGTAGCAAATGTCACCCCAACAAAGAGAACCCAGAAACAACTCCAAAGCTTTAGCCGAGTGGAACCCTAGCACGCCCGGTTGCCCAAAGACTCCAAACGCAATTCATTCACGGAGATCCGTTCCCCACGGAGTCTGTGAACGGTACCAGACCCTTGGTAACGACCCGTTAGCAGGAGCTATGCGTCTTTCCGAAAAGAGGGGACCCTAATATAGTGCCCTAAATAGTAAGATCCTTATTATGAGGACCCTTCAAATAAGGTACCCTAATTTCGGAAACGCCCCTTTTCGAGTCGCAGGTTGCCTTCTCTTGCTGACGATTGCCCTGGTCGGCGGCTTAACCATGAACCCCAAACTCCCAAACCGCTGGACCCTAAATCCTAAACTCCAACCCGGAAGACAAACACCCCAAACCTAGACTGCCTCACTGGATAAAGGGTGTTGGAAAATTCAGGATATAGTGGGATTAGGACTTGGGGTTTAGGGTGCAGCGGTGTAGCGGCTCCTGGATTGGGTAGAGAAGGCAAACCCGAAAGCTGGTACACTCTTCTACCCCGATCCGACAGATCCTTGAAGACGTGCTGGAGCGGTTGATCATTCCCGCCAACTTTCAACCTCGCGGCTACAACGACACACTTTGGGGCTTGGGTTTGTGGGTTGGGGTCGTGCAAAGTGGCAGTCTCGTAACTTAAGACTAAAATCCCTTACCAAGAACCCGGTACCTTCATTTAAGGGTTCCTTCTAGGGATCACTCAGGGTCTAGGTTTTAAGTTCCCATAATAGCGGCAACATCCCTTAACAAGAATCCAGGGTCTGCCAAAGCTACACCTCATGATCCCACGTGGCTTTATGGTTCTGGGTTCAGGGCGTCAGGGTTCAGGGTGTGGAGGTTTAGGGTTTAAGGTCTAGGGATTGTGGTTTTGGGTTTCGGGTTTAAAGGGAACTCCAGAAAGTTGGAATATGGGTTAATTGTAGGATCCCCTATAATTTACCATAGAAGGGCTAGGATAATCATACTCCAACTTTCTGGCTTTTACTGTAATAACTTAGTGACCCAATAATGGGCTCCTTAAGGGCCCCTTTACAGGCATCTATAAGGATTCTATAAGGTTTAGGGTTTTGGGTCTCGGGTTACTTTAAACCATAAACCTTAGAAGTTGCCCCCCACCCTGTAATAGTGGTGTAATAGGAATATAATAGGGCCCCAATATAATCCTTATAGTCACTATTACAGGGTAGGGTTTTGTGTCTCGGGTTTAGCATCCTGAAGGGTTGAGATCAGACTCGGGTTTTGGGGGCTGCTATACTAGGAATATGTTCGGGAAACCAAGGAATCGTGTTGCTAGCAAAAGGGGCCGTAATGATTAGGGAAGGCTTGGAGTATATGCGTGTATATGTATATAGATATATGACAACCTACATACATATATGTATATGTATATGTATGTGTATATATATATATATATATTATAATATAATATGTATATATACATACATACATACTATATAATAGATAATGTATAAAATAGTACATAATATAATATTTAATAAAGATAGTATGGTATAACATAGTAATAGTGTATATATATATATATATATATATACTCATTAAACTATAGCTATGCAGGGACCAGAAGCTGGGTTATAGTGCCCCTAGAGTAGGGCCCCGACACAACGAACGATAACCTCCACCGCCCCTGTCTAGGAATCCCAAAACCTAGCGTTTTACGGGTCAGACCCTCTAATGACGGGATCATAACCTGCTACTTTGTAGTGTTCGGGGATACAGGTAAATCTCAGACCGCAAATACCCTACGGTTGATAGAAAGCCTGCAATACCTGTAAGGACCCTAAACTACGGAAATTATGCTGCATTCCTGTCTATGGGTGATGCAGGTTTGATGTAATCAACCGTAGGACCCCTAAGCCCCAAGCTCCGCCAAGGTGCTTGCTAGCTTTTCGGTCCATGAGCTCCTCGAAATGCCTTCAGGGTCGCAAGCTGGTCCCGAACCAAGAGCAAGCTGAAAGCACAAGTCCAAGGAAGGCCGAAGTCTACTTGGAGGTTCATGGGTAGTTATACGTGGGGTTATACGTCCCCTAATGTGGGTTATAAGTTATAAGCATAATTTCCCTACTTGTCACCCTACTTATAAGAACTACCCATGAACCTCCAAGTAGATGCCTAAATCACTCAACCACAACCCCGGAGCTAAGATCCACTGACTCTCAAGCTCGAGAACCCTGAACCACACTTAAAGGGAACTCCAGAAAGTTGGAATATGTATTAATGGTAGGATCCCGTATAATTTACCATAGAAGGGTTAGGATAATCATATTCCAACTTTCTGGCTTTTACCTGAAAACGCTGGCCGCTTCCGGGTTTAGGACCAGGGTTCTGAAGTGTAAGTGTCGTAGATTTGCATCGCGGGACAGCTTCAGGTAAGGGCTACTATAAGTGCTACTACAAGGGATTTTGTTTGGATTTAGTATCTGCCATGTTGAACTTAAAACCGAAAACTCCATTTCGATTCACTCAATCTGACGAAGTGAGCTGTCCAGGCATAACAAGGACGTGGTGCTGCTTCAGGTTGAATAAATGTAACGCATTCGGGCAATCTGTATGAGTAGTTCTCTAAACTCGGGTCTCTGTTTCGGTCCCCATAACCATAAACCCTAAACCCCTAAACCCTAAACCCTTGCAAAAGGACCCTGAAGAGACCCTAATTTAGAGAACTACCCATATTCAGGCCTTATGATCCGCGTCATACTTCCTTCATGGACTTCTGAAACAACAGCAACAAGAGCTGCTCGGAGGGGCAGGGGACTGAGTAAGTAGGCTATAAATAGACTTATAAGTACCCTAAATGGCCCAATTATGACCCTACTTAAAACCTAATTACTGAGTCCCCTGCCCCTCCAAGTAGACCCTAAACCCTAAATCCCATAGATCCCTTGTAAGGCTTCCTATAGATCCTTTCAGGAACCCTTTAAAAGCCCTTAATGAATCCCCTGCCCCTCCAAGTAGGATTGGGGTTTCAGCCGAAGGACCGGTGAAACCCTCAGCCTCTTTTGGAATGATTCGGAATTCGTTTATAGAAATTGTTAAGGGTTTGGGTCCCAATAACTTTTTGGGGCACCGGCCAACCTTCCACCTCTTGCACAAGAACGGAAGGTTGGCCGGTGCCCCAAGAGTTTTCTCGACTGCTTCCATGTTTTTGGGTCCGTGGCAAGTCGTGTAGGGTTGGCCGACCCGTCCAAATTGTGTGGGGTGGCCGGATCGACCATCTTTTCTTTTCGTGAGAGCGAGGTTGGCCGACGGGCTGGGCTGGGCTGGCTGGGCTGGAGCTGGGGCTGGGGCTGCGGCTGGGAGCTGGGGCTGAGGTCTGGGCCTTGTCTGGGGTCTGGGAAGGTGCGCCTGGATTTGGGCTTTGGGTCTGGGGTCAGGATTTGGGGTTTGGTTTTTGGGACTTGGATTTGGCCTTGGAGTTTGGGGTCTGGGAAGGTGGGCCTGGATTTGGGGTCTGGGGCCTGGATTTGCTGGATTTGGGCCTTTTGGGGGTTGGATTTTGGGGTCGGCCTGGATTTGGGGTCTGGTGGCTTGGAGGTTGGGCCGATGGCTGGGGGGGGGGGGGGGGCTGGGGTGGCTGGCTGCGCTGGGCGGGCTTTGCTGTGGGCTGCTGAGCTGGGCTCTGGGCTGTTGGGCTGGGCTGGGTTTATCGAAATTGCTTGCTCTGTTGATTGACCTCCAGCGTAAGGTTGGCCAACGTCTAGAAAGTGCTTGGTCGAAGTGGTCGACGCAGAAACCCCTGACAAGTTTAAGCATTCAGTCTGAGTCGCTTGCCAATGCATGTGCTCGCTCTCCTGATGGGAATCTCTTCCTGCGCGAGGGCACCAGTTGTCAACCGAATGCCGAGCCTTCGTTACAGTCGCATCAACAAGGCAAGATCTTTTGTGTGAGTCGTGCTGAGTCAAGTGCATTGAACCAGAAGTGGAATGAACCGGCTGTTGTCTGCAAGATGAGCCAGGTCCGTGTTGGTGAAACGTTCAGAATCAAAGCCGGATTACTGCGTATGTGTCGCAAGGTTGCACGCCTAGCTGACAATTGACGGTGGGCTCAGGCTCGTCTTGGAAGCAATCCAACAAATAGGTTCGGCTATGACAAGATAGGAGAGCGACCCAGCGCTCATGGCAAGAGTTGCGGTCGCCGCGAATCTGTAGAATGCTCTGTGCTCCAGCTGGCCAGACCCTCAGGTTTTGACAATGCTGCAACTTGAAGCCGCTCTGTTCCAGGGCGCAGTCCACGACCAAAGGAGACAGTATCCTGCCACCCTGCTTCAAAAATGTGCGCCAATCATGCTCATAACCACGTGCCTTCAACAGGTCTTGGGCTCCCTGCAGAGTAATGTCACATGCTTGTCTGCCCAATGCATTGTTGACGGAGCACGTCGCACTCGCCAATTGTTTCTGTGCGAGACCCAAGCTTTCATTCAAGCTTTGGAAGAATAGGAGGCTGCCGGTTTCAGTCAAGAATTTCCACTGCGGGTGGTTCTGCCGTGACATCTGGACTCGCAAGCCAGCTTGTAGAATGTTCTCCTCAATTGCCCACCTCGCGGCTTTGCAGCTCAGAAAAGGCTTCTCCGTCCTCATTATCAGCTCAGAATACCTTCGCTTCAGTCTCCTCCGAGCTAGCCACCATCTTCGGCGGTAGCCCCTGAGCATTGCCTTCTTCCCTTGCCAAAATGAACCTCGTGCATCCTTCTTTGTCGCAGCAGCAATGCTCTGTGCAGCTTTGCGGCATCGCACATAGTCACAGAGAAGACGCCAGCTTCCGCTACCGCTATGTGGGCTTGATGCAGCTTTTACATATTGGCGGCTGCTACTGCTCATGGATGGGTTCGCCCACAGGATTGGCCGACCCAGCAAGAAATGCTTCAGGCGGGGTGACTTCTTGTGCAACCAGCTCCATGATGGCTTGAACTTCGGAGGCTGTCCAGTCCAGCCTTTGCGCGCAAGCCATACTGTTCGCTGGTAGATAGCACACACAGCGACCCCATTCCAAATGCCGCTTCGTATGTCGGCGATCCGTTTCGGCACCACTGCTTGAGCTGTCTGACCAAATTGCCTTTTGCAATGCGGGAATCCAGAGCGAGTTGTAGGTTTTCCAGACTGCACAACGCGCAGCTCCTTCTGCTGGACTGCGCAGGTCCACCTCTACCATCTTGCGAGAAGATGCATGGTCTACTTCCGATTCCAGATGGATCCTCGAAGCCACGGCAGTAGCGAGGCATGGCAAGCCAAGGATTCTGGACGGGTCTACTGTTGCATATTGCTCAGTAAAATTGCTTTCGCAAAGTAAGCCAGACGGCAAAGGACACTGCGCCGAAGTATGGGCCAGGTCTGGCTTCCTCTAATTACAGCATGCGTCGAACCACTTCTGCACGCAAGCTCTCCGGCCTCGTCCCCGTCTCCGTCTCTCTTCGGGTTGAGGATTGAGGATGTGCACCTGGGACCCCAGATTGGTTGAGGACAAGCGAGTCACTTGGGCATTTCGGCCGTCCCGGCCTTCGTGCACACCCCCTTCTACTTCCACGCTTTCTGGCTTCGAGCACCTCGCAACAAAGATGCACGCTGTGCGGGGGGAGGGGGGGTAGGCGGGTGGAGGGCCGGGGGGCGCCCCCACCCTTGGCTGAGGATAAGTGCTCCGGCCTTGTCCCCGCCTCCGTCTTCTTCACGCTGAGACCACACACCTGGGATTCCATATTGGTTGAGGATACACCTGCAGCTTCAGCTTGAGCTTCCACACCTCGGAAACCCATATTGGTTGAGGATAAGCCCTCCCGGCCTCGTCCTTGCCTCTGTCTTCTTCGGCTTGAGCTTCCACACCTCGGAAACCCATATTGGTTGAGGATAAGCCCCTCGAAACCTATATTGGCTGAGGATAAGCTTTCCCGGCCTCGTCCTTGCCTCCGTCTTCTTCAGCTTGAGCTTCCACACCTCGGAAACCCATATTGGTTGAGGATAAGCCCCTCGGGCTCGCCCTTGCCTCAATCTTCTTCGGCTTGAGCTTCCACACCTCGGAAACCCATATTGGTTGAGGATAAGCCCTCCCGGCCTCGTCCTTGCCTCCGTCTTCTTCAGCTCGAGCTTCCACACCTCGGAAACCCATATTGGTTGAGGATAAGCCCTCCCGGCCTCGTCCTTGCCTCTGTCTTCTTCGGCTTGAGCTTCCACACCTCGGAAACCCATACTGGTTGAGGATAAGCCCTCCCGGCCTTGTCCTTGCCTCCGTCTTCTTCCGCTTGAGCTTCCACACCTCGGAAACCCATATTGGTTGAGGATAAACCCTCCCGGCCTTGTCCTTGCCCTTCTTCAGCTTGAGCTTCCACGCTTCGGAAACCCATATTGGTTGAGGATAAGCCCTCCCGGCCTTGTCCTTGCCTCTGTCTTCTTCAGCTTGAGCTTCCACGCCTCGGAATCCCATATTGGTTGAGGATAAGCCCTCCCGGCCTTGCCTCTGTCTTCTTCGACTTGAGCTTCCACACCTCAGAAACCCATATTGGTTGAGGATAAACCCTCCCGGCCTTGTCGTTGCCCTTCTGCAGCTTGAGACCCCACGTCTCGGAAACCCATATTGGTTGAGGATAAACCCTCCCGGCCTTGTCCTTGCCCTTCTTCAGCTTGAGCTGCCACGCCTCGGAAACCCATATTGGTTGAGGATAAGCCCTCCCGGCCTTGTCCTTGCCTCTGTCTTCTTCAGCTTGAGCTTCCACGCCTCGGAAACCCATATTGGTTGAGGATAAGTCCTCCCGGCCTTGTCCTTGCCTCTGTCTCCTTCAGCTTGAGCTTCTACGCCTCGGAAACCCATATTGGTTGAGAATAAGCGTGGCGGCTGCACGATAAGCGTGGCGGCTGCACCTTCGGACCCCATTCAGGTTGAGGATAAGCGTGGCGGCTGCACGATAAGCGTGGCGGCTGCACTTCCGA